TTGATATCTATTAAGACAATACTTTGACATCAGTTCGTGAAATCATTGATATCTATTAAGACAATACTTTGACATCAGTTCGTGAAAACCTTGATATCTATTAAGACAATACTTTGACATCAGTTCGTGAAATCATTGATATCTATTAAGACAATACTTTGACATCAGTTCGTGAAACCATTGATATCTATTAAGACAATACTTTGACATCCGTTCGTGAAAACGTTGTAAGAGGATATACATCATAGGCGATCGCCGGACAACTACGACGATCGTAGGACCAATCGGGACAGTAAGAAGACTCCCTCACCCGCACACTACTCTGACATTCTGGACTATTGTTTTGGTTAAATAAACTCAAGGTAGATATTATTAATTGTATGACTTATGATTTATATTAATAAATTTAATTATTTATAATTGCATAATAATGGCATTTTATTATTATATTAGCTCTGATTTGTGTAGTAATTAACTTGCGCTGAGCTTGTATTAGCTCTGATTTGTGTAGTAATTAACTTGCGCTGAGCTCGTATTAGCTCTGATTTGTGTAGTAATTAACTTATGATGAGCTTGTATTAGCTCTGATTTGTGTAATAATTAACTTGCGCTGAGCTTGTATTAGCTCTGATTTGTGTAGTAATTAACTTATGATGAGCTTGTATTAGCTCTGATTTGTGTAGTAATTAACTTATGATGAGCTTGTATTAGCTCTGATTTGGGTAGTAATTAACTTGCGCTGAGCTTGTATTAGCTCTGATTTGTGTAGTAATTAACTTATGATGAGCTTGTATTAGCTCTGATTTGTGTAGTAATTAACTTATGATGAGCTTGTATTAGCTCTGATTTGTGTAGTAATTAACTTGCGCTGAGCTTGTATTAGCTCTGATTTGTGTAGTAATTAAATTACGATGAGCTTGTATTAGCTCTGATTTGTGTAGTAATTAACATGCGTTGAACCTGTATTAGCTCTGATTGGTGTAGTAATTAACTTGCGATAAGCTTGTATTAACAGTAGAATCAGGTGTTCTAACAAGTATATGTAGAATAAACGCCTAAATGACTGAATATTTAAATCAGATAGTTGATGTCTTGTCGATAGTCGATCAAACTATCCTTATCGATATCTTAACTAACAGTGGGTATTTCACTTTAGAGGAATTAAATAACGTATTAGGGAACAATAATAAGGATAAAGAAGACTCGATTAGTTTGACCGACTTTAGCCTCGCATCTGAAATAGAATATGAGTTATTAAAAGAAAGTGAGGAATCTTTACCTGAACTGTCAATAGATTATATCACTGAAAT